CGAAGGTTAAAGTTTCTCAAATGCAAGTCAAACTCCAGGTCAAGAGATCAAAATGTTGGTACCCAAAGAAAGGTCTTGTCTCGAGGAATATACCTGTGAAATATGAAAGCCCTAGCTCCAACTGTTCAAAAGTTATAGCGAAGGTTAAATTAATTTTTAAAAATAAGTAAAAGGTCAAAGTCAAGATCAAATGGGGCCCCAAGGGAAGGTCTTGTCACAAGTGATACACATTTTCGTTAAATGTGAAAGCCCTAGAAGCAAAGTTTCACATGTTTTTTTCACACAGTTTTTTTTAAAGTAGGGCAAACTCTAGGCCAAATTGCCAAAATTGTTGGTATCCAAAGGAAAGTCTTGTCCCAAGGAATGCACATGTGAAGTATGAAGGCCGTAGCATCAACCATTCAAAAGTTATGGCCAAGATTAAAGTTTTTCAAAAGTAGGTCAAACTCCTATGTCAAGGTCAAAGGGTCAGAGAGGTTGGTATCCAAAGGAAGGTCTTGTCACAAGGATTACATATGTGAAGTATGAAAGCCATAGCACCAACCATTGAAAAGTTATGGCCAAGGTTAAAGTTTTTCAAAAGTAGGTCAAACTTCTCGGTCAAAGTTAAAGGGTCAAAGTGGTCGGTATCCAAAGGAAGGTCTTGTCATAAGGATTAAATATTTGAAGTATGAAAGGCCTAGTACCAATCGTTCGAAAGTTATATATCCAAGGTTAAAGTTTTTTTTTTCAAAAGTAGGTCAAACTCCTAGATCAAGGTCAAAGGGTCAAAGTGGTTGGTATCCAAAGGAAGGTCTTGTCACAAGGAATAGATATATTAAATATGAAAGACCTAGCTCCAACCGTTCAAAAGTTATGACCAAGGTTAAAGTTTTTCAAACGTAGGTCAAACTCCAAGGTCAAGGTCAAAATGTCAAAGTTCTTGGTATCCAAAGGAAGGCCTTGTCATATGAAATATGCATGTGAAGTTTGAAACCCCAAGCACCAACTGTTCAAAAGTTATGGCCAAGGTTAAAGTCTCATAAGATTTTGGAAAAGTGTGTCAAACTCCAAGGTCAAGGTCAAAAGTCAAATATGATGGTACCAAAGGAAAGGTCTTGTCACAAGGAACACACATGTGAAATGTGAAAGTCAAAACTCCAACCATTCAAAAGTTATGGGCAAGGTTAAAGTTTTAGCGGACAGACAGCTACACAAACGGACGGACAGGGCAAAAACTATTTACCCCCGAATCTTCGATACGGGGGCATAAAAAATCTTTACACTTTTCATTCTTTCTATACAATAGGTTTCATTGGTACATTTTTAAAGGATGACAAAGAATCAATACATTTTGTTTATTATTATGTAAAAGGTGAAGATAACGAAAAGTAATCAATCTCATAAATCATGTGTACAAAACGAACAGGGCGGGGATCAGGTGCCTAGGAGGAATAAACACCCCCTGTCGACAGGCCAGACCCGCTGTGAGCCCTATGTATTGATCAGGTAGATGGGGTTCTGGGTAGTCAAATTTAGTATAAAAACAATGATTTTACAAATGGAATCAAATATGTAAAACAAAATAAAATCGAAAACCACTACAAGAGTTTTCTTATTCTCATGAAGAAGGTTTTAAATAAATTATGTTTCACAGGAATAAAAAACAGGTCAGCTAAAAATGAGCACAATAAGTGGTCATAAAATTTTTTACTATAATTTTTACTAGTGGTTTCAGATGGAGGAGGATAATTAAGATTTTTTTATGTTTCGCTATTTGGACCTGGGAGATTACTAACAAATAAAGTACTTTAAACATTGTGTGCAGGATTTCGTTACCTTATTTTTAGGTTGTGTTTTTATTTAAAGTTTGTAAAAAAAAAAAAAAAAATCATTCATTTCATTGATGTTTGTTGAACTGGAAAAAAATTGGAGTCGCAATTGACTTTGTTTTGATCATTTTTTTTTATGTTTTGAAATAACACCATCGTAGTTTGTTATGTTGGGTTTATAAGCATATTGTTAAAATGTTTTGTATCTATCACAAAAACTAACTGGTTCATTTGTACTACAGATTGAAGATCTGCATATACATTATCTACACTACTTGGATTATTGATGAATACTAAATATTAACATTACAAGGAGTACACGTAAAATATTTGGTTCATCAACCAAGCTTAGGGAGTTACTTTGTACTACAAGTTGTTTAAAAGTTTTGTTTCCACTAGTCAACATATATCAATATTACAATCTCCCGTTAGAAACACAGGCATTGGTTCATTAAATGCCATGTCTAGTGAAGCAAAAAGACGATCAAAGCAAGATCAAAGTAAGAAACAGTTAAATTTGGTGGTCGATAGATCAAAACAAGTGTATTTTTTCATATTGTCTTGCATTTGCATTTCACGCGATAAGCTCAGTATCACTGATATTGAGGACATCACTTTTTTAAATTTTTATTTATTTATTTTTATTTTTTTTTTTTACAAAATGCAGGTCTTTAAAACAAGACCCTACCCCAAAGCTTTAATGATCATGTCTAATTGGAATGGAAAATCATGAAACATTATTCATCATAGGATGATTTGGTATGATCAAGGTGAGTTTCAGTAATACCAATAAGATCATACTGAGACAGCTCATTGTTAAACAACATCAATTTTGCTAAGTAAAACTAAGTCTTATTGGGGAATTGTACTTAATTTCCGTTTTTTTTTTAAATATTGTTTGGTCTTGCTTCAGGGTTTGTTTCCAAATTACGATTTGTGAATAGAAAAGGATATTATTGAATAAACATAAAAATGTAGCTGTGTAAAATTCCAATTTGAACCTCAAACGGCACAGAAACATGTAAGTGATACACAACAAATACAACTAATAAATATGAGAGACGGGCTTTCCATACATAAGTGAAAATCTATCATGTGTATCGTAATTTATCGATATAATTAGTGAAGATATTACCCGAGTCTCACCACATGGTATGCAAAGAATGTTAAGAAGTTAAAACAAAAAAAATGATTATATCATTCTATCAAGTATTAAGGTGTCTAATAGTAGACCTATATACATTTATAAAAGAACACTGAAAATTGCATCATTAAGGTGTCGCAGGATTTTTCATTTTGTGACTAGCTTATAATTTTACTAATCAAAAATTAATGCATATTTTCGTCTGATTGCTTCTCATGATTTCCCCAGATTCCCTTTATAGACCAAAAAAATGATTATCCAGTTTATCACTAAATTTACAGTTTTTTGAACGTTACCTTAATAGCATGGTAAGCTAACCTAATTGAGTGCAGCAGCTGAGAGACAGGACCAAAGAAACTAAACACAGGTAACAAAGAGAACCTATGTTGAAAATGAACTAAATACGACTCACATAGTTTTTTGCACAAATTAAAGTCACATTGGTATAATGGGATATTGTGTAACGAGACAAGAAAGTATATTTGTAAGTGATTGGTTATCTTATTTCTTTATTTTACTCTTTCGTACACCTTTATGGAATTGTTGTTTCACTTAATTAAGGATAACATGTTTCATTTTACAGTCCTTTCCTTCAACTCTCAAATTGAAGCGAGGTCCTTCAGTGTAAAATCTTGAAGATTCTCTTTTGACCATTGGAGACTTTTTTCCCCATCGCCTAGACCAAGTACATTCACATGACTTCATAGCGCAAGATGATAACAGTAATTCTGCTTACTATGTTAACAAGCTTTTTCAGTGTTACTTTCTGAAATCTAGCATAATTAGAGATCTGTCCCACTGCAAAATACAAAGTTTCAAACCGTAAATGTAAAAAAAAAACTTCTTTTCAATAGTAACAATTTACCATTTTAAAAGGATAAACACTACTCCATTATCCTACCTTTTGGCATGATTTCTATCTGCAGCGTTGTCTCTTTTCGGCTTTACATTTCCACAAAAACTAGACAAATATGGTATATAAGCAAAGTACTTAGAAAATACCCATCTTTAAGAAGTCAATTTAAAAATTTCAACTAGACAGTATCAAAGAAAGCTCGATTATTTCAATTTGTAAATAACTACAGTTTTAGTTTAAAATATATTTATTCATTACAAATGAAATGGATTGAACAGCAGACAGAATATCTGTAATCGTTATCTCCATAAATAACTATCGTAGAATATTAATCATATAGTTATTACAATGTGCCATTTATTGATAAATATTTACATCCATTGAATATTTTCTCCTTTATTTCTAAAGAAAACCATTGCCGTTTATCAGTTCGTGAACAACATTAGGCATATCACCTGTACAGATTTCTTGATCAGTGGCTCTTCCATCAATGAAACGTACAATGATGTCCATATCAATAATACAATAATTAATCTTTTTAACCCTACTATAAATGATTATATATACAGATATCAATATAAGCAATAAAATGTATTTCTTTGGTTGTTAGTACGAGAATTAATTAACGCGGGTTATGTATTTTTTTCTGCAACAGCTGCGACATTAATTCCCGTACTAACAATAAAAAAAGCATTTTATTGTTTAAATATCCCTTTAAAACATCGACTTTGAAATCATAAATGGCATGTACCCTTGACATGACATATCAAATACATCTCAGGGTTATTTTGTCGTACTAAAGTTAGATAATGTTAAGTTTCTATGAGTCAAAATGCTTATTATCTTTTTAATGACCTGTTTTCCTTTTTTTTTAAATTCTTTTGCTGCGCAGTAGCAATGTTCAATGGTATTTCTATTAATAGTGCAAAAACAAAAATCAACTCAAAAATATTTTGATTTGATGAATAAAACTTTGATGAAAAGATATTCCTTTACAACATTTTGAAAAATTTCTTATATTAACAGTGATTGAACAATAATAGCCTACAGGATTCTTCAATTATCTACAAGTTATTTCAATGTACATAACAGTATATGGTTTCTTTCCATAAACAACATTTGTTCTTTTCAAGGCTTTCATCCAAATCACACCTCTATAGATTATAATAAAATAATAATTCTATCTCTCTTAAATTATGCATACTACTATGGACGGATTTTTGTTTCCTTTACGAGAAGTCATCATAAAATTTGTAGGATTATTTGTATGCTTGATAAACAAAGCAGATTCCGATTCCGGAATAGCTTGACCTTCTCGGAACTGTGTGAAGGTCAAATTAGCACCGCTGTCATCCTTCCAGGTCATGTCTACAAAATCGAAGTTTCCCTGAACAATCATTTGTCGGCTTATTGGATCGGAAAGGTGATTAAAATTATCTGAAAGAACAAGAAGTCTGTGAGCCAATGCTCACTAGTAATCAGAACACAGTCTACTACTAGTATATGCTATGCTTAAATGACACTGACATGCACATTTTTGAAATTAGTTGTTCCAAAAGAAAAAAAAAATACTTACAGGCTAACAGACTAGCGAATCTGTTTTCCTCTGCTGTTCTTATCAGCAAAAATCTTCCACCTTTTCCTTGACACTGAGAAAAACCGTCCTCTTTATCAGAATGTCCTTCGTATCCCAAACAGTAATTGAATGTTCTACTATAAGCATATGGAAATGGACAATTCCCTAGAACAAAATATTATGAGATATCAAACTTAACATGGGAGAGAAGACGGTTGGACAAGTCAGGAAAACAGAACTGGAAAGCGACTGATAGACGACTCTACAACTTCATGCATCCGATATCCAAAAAGAAATGCAGATTGATCTGAAGATATAAGGCACTATATGTGTATGTATTTAAACGAAAATAGTGTGTTTGTGCATAAATAAACATGTACATAGAAATACTGAAAAGGGCGTATCTATGATTCTGTCAATGAAATATGGAGATAACGAAGAGTATTCAAGCTCAAAGCCCATATAGACAATACAAATCGGGAGCAGAGCAAACACGGATATCCAAAAAACATCAGAGGTGGGACCAAGTGCCATGGAGGAGTGAGCATCCCCTGCTGACCGGTCACACAACTAGTCCATGTCCTATGTTTGCTCTAAAATTAAATTACGATTAGAAGTACAGAAATATATTTTGTATTCTGTTTAAGGGTAATTCTTTGTAATGACTTGAACTTTATATAGGAGCCGTTGCACGCATATTCCCAGATTCTCTCCAGACTCTCTGTGATAAGTCTTTGATGCAATAAACTTATATCAGGTAAAATTTGATTACTATTTGTCATGTTTACCAAGACAACCCTGCAGTTTATTGTTTGACACATAGCAGCCAAACGTTGTTTGATACATGTTTTTGGTGTCAAGTTGTAATAATGGGTAAAATTAACAAGTCTCATGTTCAGTGTACCTTGCGTATGGGTATTTTTAAAATATTGTAGAGTTACATGTAAATAAATGCTTTTCTACGGATGCCCATTTACGACCTTTTGAAATATTTTTGAATTCGATATTACAAATTTTCGAATTTGTTTAAACGAATTTAATTTGTTATAACAATTTTTTAAATTCGATATAACGAATTAAATCTGTTTTAACAGATTTGTTGAATTCGTTATAACGAATAAAAACTTGCTATACCAGATTAAATTCGTTTAGACTGATTCTAAAATTTGTTACATGTATAATGAATTAAATTCGTTTAAACAAATTCTAAAATTTGTCATTACAAATTAAGTTCGTTTAATCAAATTCGATCATTAGGGCCTTTAGAAAAATGTATATGAATTCGAAAAAAAGGAATGGTATAATTCTTTAAAGCAAATATAGAATCTGTTTCAACGAATTAAAATCGTTAAAAAAATTTTGAATTCGCTTTAACGAACTCCAGATCTGTTAAAACAGATTTAATTCGTTATAACGAATTAGAAAATATTGATATAACGAATTAAATTAGTTTTAACACATTCGACAATGTAAAAAATATTTTTGATAGGTCCTTATTGGGCTTCTACGGAAGCCCATTTAGGACCTATCAAAAAATATTTTCAAATTCGATATAACGAATTGTGGAATTTGTTATAACGAATTTAATTCGCTATAGCAAATTTCTTTGAACTCGTTATAACGAATTTAATCTGTTATATCAAATTTGTTGAATTCTTTATAACAAATTCAATAAAAATATTATAACGAATTAAATCCGTTTAAACGAATTCTAGAATTTGTAATAACAAATTTAATTCGTTATAACAAATTAAAAAAATTGTTATAACGAATTAAATTCGTTAAATCAAATTCAACAATCAGGGCCTGTAGAAAAATATGTATGAAATCGATATAACGATTTGTCGAATTCATTTTAACGCATTAAAGTCGTTATAACAAATTAGAGAATTTGTTTTAACGAATTTAATTCGTTATAACTAGTTTCAGAATTTGTTATAACGAATTCAGTTAGTTATAACAAATTTTTGAATTCGTTATAACGAATTCAATAAATTAATTATAACAGAATTAATTCGTTATAACGAATTCAAAGAAACTGTTATAACGAATTAAATTCCTTATAACAAATTCGACAATTTGTTATATCGAATTCAAAAATATTTTTTCATATGTCCTAAATGGGCTTCCGTAGGCTTCAGTACCATCGCTATTGCAACCTCTCTGACCACACTGGTAACCAAAACCCCTATATATGCGTACAAAAAGTTTGTTCCCAAGAGGGCTTTTACATGGTGTTGTGTTGTAATAAAGAAATTAGACTGCTGTAGGCAAGACGGCAATTTGTTTACTCTAGTCTAAAAGGCAGATGTCGTATTTGCAGATGAAAATACTGAGTGGTATGTTAGTAATCTTGCCTAGTGTTCAGATGGGCAAGAACGAAATTTTAAGTTCATCCAGTGAGTGTAATATTGGTCTTACTATTAAAATACTGTCGATTCCTAAATATACGCGAGGAATTAATTATTGCGTAATTACACGAGAAGCATCCCTCGCGAAATAAAATTACTCGTTTTTATTTTTATTGTGCTGAAATCCATGTAAAATCAGTTGATCAACCATCCATTCGCGAATTATTGTTCTCGCGATTTGACGTTTAAGGGTCATTTCGCGATATTAAGTACCCGCGTAAAATAAGGAATCTACAGTAATGTAAAGCTTAAGAAAGATATGTACCTCTTGTTATATAGAAATAGGTCCAATCCTCTTTACTTGTACCAGCATCTGCTGTCAGCATTAGGGTTTCGTACGCACGACACTGCCTTTTTCCTTGATGAAAATTGAAAGAAATGCATGGTCTATCATTGACACAATCAGCTGCACACGTCAGTAAGGAATCTGAAATCTGCTGCCAAAGCAATCCATGATTCAACACAAAATTATCAAAACGGTAGTCTTGGAACAACTCGAAATTTCGCATGGATAGTTGTGCTTTTACTAGTAATCCATAGGTCAGATATATGCTAAAGATATTTGTTAGAATTTTGCTAAAAATATTAAATTCCATGTTGTCTTCTTGCAGCGTTATTTCCGGCAGCACAAATCAAATTATTTCTCTACTTTGTGCTTATTATTTAGATTATAATCGAAAAGTCTTTTAAATTCCTGTCTTCACAAGGCACCTTCTTCGGCGTCTACACATACAAAAATAAATTGGATTTGTGAGTTGTTCACATAAAAAAATAACGAATTGGAAGAATTGTCGATATCTAATTCTATAAACTTGATTATTTGTATTGATCGAATATTTCACCAAATCCACCTAGCAATACATTTCAGCTTCAAGTGTGGGTTTTTTTTTCTGTTATTTTACCTTAATGAATCCAGACCAGTTGCTAAGGTTATCAAAAAGTGATGCAGTGGAAAAAAGGCCTGTCGAATATTAAAAAGAAACAAAAAAGATTTTCAGTTTAAGAGTACTTGATTGATTTTAGAACATTTGCATGATACAAGTCTTTCTAAATGGAAACATATTGGCTTCGAGAGCTTTGTTTATAGATAGTACCAAAATATACATGTATGAGAAATAATGGTGAACTTTTCTTTACTGATAATCCAACAATTCGAGGACATTGACTCCGGATAAGAGATTTAATCAAAGTCTGAAATCTTGATAAGTAATAATAATAAAAAATAAATTATATAATTCTCTATTGCAAGCGATATGATAGGTCACACATAACTCTTCTGTTTTCTGCCAACGATCACCATTTTAAGTTTAACATGCATAAGTAGACTTGATAATCAGAATTATTTGAGCCAACTGCAAGAAATGGTGCAAACAAGATTATATGTCAAAAAAAAAAAAAAAAAAAAAAAAAAAAAAAAAAAAGAGAGAGAGAAAGAAAAAAGGAAAGAAAAGGAACAATAACGGTGTAGCTCCTGACTTTGTTCGAGATGACATAATAAGAATAAATTAAGAACACATTTATTTATCTCCCTCACTTCTTGAATGACAAACGTTTTCCTTGATTTCTATGGCGTGTAAAGCATTGCATTATTATACTTTTTTGATATTCCTATTCAAAAATATTGTTATTCTTATTCTATAAAACATACCATTCCTATTCGGGAAAATGTGATTCTTATTCGATAAGTTGTTATTTTTATGAGAAAAAATGTGTTTTCTATTCGATAATTTATCATTCCTATTCGATAAGTTGTTATTCCTATTCGAAAAATGTGATTCCTATTCGATAATTTGTTATTCCTATTCGATAATATGTGATTCCGATTCGATAATTTTGACATTCCTAATCTATAATTAAATGATTTATATTCGATAAACATGTTATTCCTATTGAAAAACATAATTACCCAGAATGCAATTATTGAATAAGAATAAGAAAACATCGCATAGGAATAATAAAATTATCGAATAAGAATAACAAAATTAATCAATAGGAATCGTATGTTTTCGAAAAGGAATGATATGTTCTCGAATTGGAATAACACTTTTTTGTATATAAATCAAATAATTATCGAATAAGAATGACGACATTATCAAATAGGAATCACATGTTTTCGAATATAAATGACATGTTATCGAATAGGAAACACACATTTTCGAATAGGAATGATATATTTTGGAATAGGAATCATATTTCTTCCAATAGGAATGACAATTTATCGAATAGATATGACAAATTAACGAACAGGAATAACATTTTTTCGAATAAGAATAACAACTTATCGAATAGGAATCACATTTTGTCGAATAGGAATGATATGTTTTTGAATAAGATTAATATATTCTTTGAATAAGAATAACAAAAGAGTATAATAAGGCAACGTTTCACAGGCCATAGATATCTCTGATTCTTACATAGTTGTTTGAAGAACTAATGTTCTTCTGCTCAAAGGCAATCTTCACGAAACGTTTAATACAAGACATTGAATAAAAGATATCTCCGGGACTTATTAAACTTTTAACAATTAGTTACATTATTGAATCGTATGTGCTTTGATCAGTAACAACATCCTTCCATTTAAAGTAAATAGACTTTGTTCATCTACCTGTGATTTTAATTCTTTGTACAGAAGAATACAATAAAAACTAAATGCAAAAATGTCCAATGTAAATTGTAATCAAAATGAAAATATCTTCTAGATTATAAATTGTCAATATGCTTCAATTTTTTTTAAAATTTACATTTCTCAGCAAAATCTTCAAGACGGCAATAAAATGGTGTCAAATTTGAATGCCAAGGAGAAAGAGGGGGGGGGGGATGTTTATTGAAATAAATTTTATTTTAATTAAATTTTTTAGAATGAAAAACTCCTCCAAGTTAAAAATTACCATGAAAATGTGAAATGGACATTCCTGGACTCTTCAAACTTTTCTCCTTGAAAGGGTTACACAAACAAATGAAAATAAAGTCAAACATTATTCGCAGTCTAGTATTTCCAGGGGTCCGTTTGTTTGTTTGTTTGTTTGTTTTATGTCTTGTTTGAAGGATTTACCCGTATGTGTTTTTCTTTTCGTTATCTTCACAATTTTCCAGGTTTTCACATTTTAAGCTACTAAAGGTAAATATTTTTGTATATATTTTGACTGATTTTTCAAATACATCGAGGAAGGCATAAATAGTATATATTCCTATACCATGACAATATGTCTGATTTTTTATTTATTTATTTATATTATTATTATTATTATTTTGTTAAAGAAAAAAGAATATTTTTGCGTAAACAAAGGATAAGATCAGAATACTTACTCATACTTTAAGAAAGATTTCTTCTCATAGATGCAATTGTTCTAAAAACTGTTTATTTAAGCAACGATTGTTTTTCATGGCCTGAATCATTCTTAAGTATACTGAACCTGGTAAAATGATATTTTTCTTATGTAAAGTAATATGATAAAAAGGCTCTGTCTTCTTTATGTCTGAATGAAACCATCGGATTTCCATCTGTATGTACTCTTCCGAAATTTAACATGTGAACGTTTGTTGACATTAATTTTAAATGTGATGCATTCTATTTGCTCTGTAGACAAATTACGTTCGATGACGTATGAATGCAAATGTAAGTTAGATAAACACGCAGAAGAGTGAAAACCTAGAAATATTTTTTTTCTTCTGATTAATCGCATTAAATAGTGAGAAATGAATTTTTCATGAACAATTTAGATAGATATTGTAATCGATTAGAAAATCAATAACAAGACTTAACAAGTTCACTGGAAAATTAACTTGGTTGGTCATATGATCAAATCCTATGGTTCTCTCAGATACCATGGAGATACAATTTAAGGGTTTCTTAGTAGGATTTAAAAGAGGTTTTTAGATGTAAACGGCAGCCAGAATGTACCAGAATGCTAAAAGTTAATCTCAAGTTTCGATGAACAAAATTTTACGGAAAACAGTTTCGTACGTTGGACAAAATCCATGTTTTTCTCGTATGTTTGTTTATTTAACACGCTTATTAAGAAAAGCTTCAAAGTCCTATCCGGGTTACGTACACTTGATGGCAAGTCTATAATTTTCCGTTTGTAAAGTTTAAGATGCAGCAGGTGGGTATTGCAGAAGAGAGAGAGAGAGAGAGAGAGAGTTATCTTTAAAAATTTGCACCTATCGGACCTTTCCAAAAAAAAAAAATCAAAGCAAATTGCATTCATTTTCATTAATCTTTGCAATAGATAATGCTTATTATTCAAAATATAAATCTTTAGATTCTATTCAAACCTTTAATTAAAACATAAACAAAAGAGCGTTTTGTGATCCACTTCTTACTTCTGTTTTTAATGTTCTCTTTGCATTGCATGATTTTGTAAGTATGTTGGAAAAATTTTGAAGAATTTTCTAATTTCGAAGATTATTCATAAAATCTGTCTTTCAAACGACTTGGGTAAATGCTTTGTCAGCATTAGCATCGATTTAATTATCCACACTTGCAAGGATCATCTAATTGTGTTTTATTTTGACGCTTATTTTTCAAATGGCACACATGTCACGGTTACATATAGATATAATTGCAATGTATGACTAGTCACACTATGACCTCTGACACACACACATCCCTATCCCCAAGTACGTCTACTTCCATAGGTCATCTGAAAATATTTGCAAATGTAAATACTGCGGTAAATAGGTCAAATCTAGATATATATTAAGTAAACGCTCTCTCTGAAAAGTAAGGGTCTTCAAACAACAGATATATATATGATCAGAATACAACATATATTGTATTTCAGTTTTAATGGGCAAAAGAAAAAAAAAAGGAAAAAAGAAAAGAAAAAATTAAGAAACCCATGAAACATCCTGAGGTTGTAGATGCATTAAAAAATTTTCAGAAAAGATGTCACAGAGGTTCATTCTGCATTGTCACCATAATCAAAATTAAGTCTGAATTATCGCTTATCTTACGATGTTTATTTTAGAATATAATTTGATAGGTAACTGCAAAGGATAAAAGAGGTAAGGTACACATTATAATCAGTTCACAGTAGTCAACGATCATTTAATTAAAATCATTAAAGAAACACAAGACAGGGTGGATAACGACATGTGTTTAAACAGCAATTAACGACTCGAAAAGTGACCAATTACCCCAACCCGATGTCAATCTGGAGAGCCTTAATTATCTCCGAATTATCTTAAATAGATAGGTGAACAGGCTAACATTTGAGAAAATTTTATTTGTATTTTTTAAATTGAATTTTCAGGAAAATGTAATCAAATTTACACATATATTAATTTTTCCGACTAACCGATTTCTCTCTCTCTCTCTCTCTCTCTCTGTGTGTGTTTGTGTGTGTGTGAGGGTGTGTGTGTAAAGAATTTGATGTCTTAATGGTCGCTCCCTCATCACTGTTGGATTTTATTTCTTTTACATGCCATTCTTTAATACTATATCACTTGTCACAATCAATGCTTTCCAATCTCTGTATTACAAATACTTTTTCTACGAGTCCTCACT